TGGTGATTAGCACAAGATAAGTGACGCTGTGTCAGAGCCTCTCCGTCCAGCCGCTCGAGCTGTGTGTGGGAGGCAGCAAATTGTCCATTAAGTGTTTCTGCTGAGGCCGAGAGAAGATTTGATATAGTGGGGAAACAAAAGTAATATGTACCAGGAAATTCAATTGTCTCTCTCCGGCAAGTTTGAGCTTTAGTTCGGCTTCCCCACCAAATCAATTTCACATGAAAGTACGAGGTCAGATGAGGTTTAACTGTGAGTCCTCCTCGCAGCTAGTCTCCTTTTACTCACTCCGAGGTAGTGTACAGATTGGGTGGCGATTCGATTTTTGTGTGTTTACATGAAAGAACTTGTGTGACTCAGGCAAACTTCCTCACGTGCTGCCGAGAGTCTCGGGGCCACAATAGAAGGAAACTTCCTCTTCTCTCTCACAAAACCCGATGTGGTACTACAGGAGGTACGAGCAAGCACAGGAAACAATCACCTTCGCTACAGTGTGAAGGTCCTTGACCCTAACACAGCTGCAGCTAGCACGTGTCGTGAAAGTAAGGGGAGTTCAGGAAGGTGCCCTCCACTTCTTCAGTATCAAGAGACTTCGAGCGGCAGAGCAGAAGTCACTGCCAGGAACCTGTTGTTGCAACCTTAAGTATGGAGGTCACGTACGGAGGCCGGGGTGAGGTGAAGTCTCTTGCTCTCTCTCGCTGTCAGGTGTTTGCCAGTCAGGCCTGATTTGACTACAGGGGATCGTGTTTCGACAGCAGGAACCTCCAAGAGGCTCTCAGGCCTCGAGGCTCCGCATCTCTCCAGACCACAGGGCATCCTCTGTTCTCTAAGGAAGCCCGGCTGTTATCGAACCCCAGTGCACAGCACTATCCCGTAACAATGCTAACTAAATCCCCAGTGCAGTTCAGGTTCACACTGAACTCTTAGAAAAGCCAAATGAAGTCATATCAGGCGTGCTTGTATTACTGGATAAAAAGAAGCCAATTTGTAAGTAAGTAACAGTGAGGTATAGCAACTATGCTGTCGCTATATCAGTGCTTGTATATACTGTACCCTCCAAATTACATCAGCAGCAGAGTGAATATGATGTTTTTGCTACCTAAGCCATTGGATTGGATTCTTTAAAGATGAAAGTAAAACATAACTACAGACCAGCTTTACTTTTTCTTCATTTATTATGTCTTTATATGTAGATAAAATAGTACATGTAGCCTCTGTTCTGAAAAGTAAAGCAAATCAGTGTGACCTAAACTTGTATTCATTCTAATGACCTTTCTGGTTGCAAAAAGAAGTCCAGCAAACACTCTCCTGATGAGTTTACGGTCTTAATCACAAATTACACAAATTAAGTCTAATTTAATACAATATAATGTTAATTTTGGAAATAATACGCCTAGTTAGAGAACCTTTGTGTGATTTAAGGCGTGGTCAATTTGTTATTTTAAAAGCTGCAAGTACCGACAGCAGTAGTGTTAAATTTGCATACGCCGGTATATTCAGGATGTATACTAGAGCTGCCTCCATTACCACCTTCTAGCAGGTTGAAAAACATCTTCCACAACAGTTGATACAGACTGGTTATTTTAGCGAGGTCAACGTTTATTCAGCCCGGAGTCACACCCAACGGAGGCAGGGATTTAGCAATTAGCCACTTTCCCTGCCAAGACACACTGGCAGGCCCTCACAAAGGTGAATTGTCCATAGAGCTGTTCACCTTGGCTGGCATCACAGTAAAGTGCAGTCATATTTTTGTGTCACTCTCACACCTGCCTGAAATAGATCTCCCAGCCACCCAGTCTGGAGTATAGGTCCTGACAGGTCCAGGCTGCGGTTTGCCGATTGCGTTGGCAGGGAAGCTTAATAAAGGATGCCACTCTGTTTAACTAAGCCTAGCAGGGCACGTGTTTTTTGTTTCCCTCGTTCTTTTTTTTCAGCAGGGGAATATTTGGAGCTCAGTTTTCCACTGTTTTTGTTTATTCACGAGAGGGTATCCTCCCAGCTTTCCATTATTAACCTGGGCAACTGAAAAAAAGAAAAAAAAAGTTTCCAGTGCTGTTGAGAGGGAAGCCAGGCCACTTTGCTTTCGTTATTGTAACATTACATGGAATCTTCTTTTTAACAATAGCATATAGCGATCACGAAAGTGGAAAAATAGCCCTCTGGCACTCTTTTTCAAAGGTTACACTTAGAGTTACAAGGTTTGCTGAAGAAATCTTATAATCCACACTTGCCTGCCCACGTTGTGCAACAGAAGAATTTTTTAAGCCAAATTTCATTTAGAACTAAATGTTCCTCCGAATGCTTGACAAGCTTCCCCACTGCTGCATATTTGTGGTTATCTAGTCACCTCAAGGACGGTAAGACAGAGTCAAAAATGTATTAAAGGAAAAACAGAGAGATAATTCTTTCTGGTTCATTTTTTCTCAAAAAAAAAAAAGATACATAAGCTCAGGACAGAAAAGTAAAAATAAAAGTCTTTAGCTAAAACTGGATCATTTCAACTAATTTTGTTTTTTTAAAAGATGCGTGACATGCGAGACCTTTGGTTCTCTCAAAAACATTACCTGTGAGTTTTCTTTAAAAGGTCTTTGTTTCCCAGAACTTGTCACAACTAAATAGTGACATGAGTATTAAGATGCTATAAATAGCATCTTGGTGTTGTCTTGTGGTGCAACAGTTGGCCACATCCTGCTTCTAAAATTCTCACGTTGCTGACAGAGTACATAAATGAAACACATGGGCCAGTGTTTTACCTTTCTTTTCTCTGTCACTATTTCTTCAGAATGGAACATCTTTGTGCTTGCCAATGGAAAGTATTAGTTGATAAAGGGCATCAAAATAACACTGCAGTTAATATGTGGGAGGAAGAGACGTCACGATTTTTTTTCTTTTTCTTTTTTTGAACAGTGACTGAAATCAAGAAAAAGAAGTCACCACTTTTAATCTCAGAAATATGAATGATATATTTCTGCTGCTGAACCGTCGGGTTTTCCCACCTCTTCTTAAGAACTAGCTGGCGATGTTTTCTCACCTCTCTGTGATCATTTCGTTGTGCATACATGTGCTTGCACTTCCTTCGTGTCCTGCAATGGTGGATCTAAAAATAACCACAGCATGTAAATGCTTGTTTAGCCCGGAGCGGAACAGGGTTGAAAACAGCCAACACTGTTGGCACAGGTTGAGTTTTTCCAATGGGAGTTCCTCCTGTTCAGGGAGGGGAGTCCCAACCAACTTGTGTGTGTGTGCGTGTGCATGCTTGTTTGTGTGTGTGAAAAGGTGGGCGTTTGCATACATAAAACAAGGACAGCTATTATTGTAGAGCCTGTGTGTCTTTTAAATCAAACATTATTTATGTCTTCAGCCTTCTTTCCTTGGTGGTTCTGCCATTTGTTCTGCATGGATCAGTTCAGCAAAACGTTTTTTTATTAGCACCTCAGCCATCAACATCACACTTAACTGAAATCAAGCAGCAGTTAAATGATATAGTACAAAAGGAGCTCCAAATAAGTTTTTCTCAGTTTTGTTTTTATCTTGATCTATGCTGATGCTTCATAATTCACCAAACAGTACGCAGTGATAACAAACGTGGGCCCACTCTGAACTTCAAAGTGGGTGGACTTCCTGTCTCGGCTCCGATGGTGGTTCTAGCAGACTCAGACTGCATCGGCCTGTCTTATCAAGGCGAGCTCTGTGACTATGAGGCTTCTTGTTTTTGTCGAGCAACAGGTCTCAGGGTCCTCGCCATCTTCTCAGTCACTTCCCTCTGTTTTGCCAAAGAACACAGAGAAGATAAAGGCAGGGGACTGATCTCTGTCTGCCCGACTGTGGGAAAAGCGCGGGCACAGGAACTGGTGCAGGAAACACAAGACGATGACTAAAAACAGGGATATTCACATGGAGCCGAAATGAGTTGTTAATGACATTGATATGTTTGGACTGTGGCTTCTGATGTCCATGATGTCCTGATGTCAAGTATGCAGTGTAGTGTTGCTGTCTGAGATGTTGTCATGTTTAAAGTTTAAAGCGTTTGCTAATAAGAAAACATTAGAGTAGCTAGGAAGACTTCAGCCAAAAGAGGATTTGCCAACACGTGTAATTTATATTTGACACTATGGCTCTGTCCTTCCATCATAACAGAGCAGGTATCCAAGGCAACAGACAGGTCACAGATTTGGGGCGGAGGGCGTTGCAAAGTGGCTTGCAGGGCAAACAGCGGGAATTGTATGCAGGATGCAGCTGAGTCATGAGGTGATACTGAAATCAGACGTTAGCAGATTATATACCAGGCTAACCTTAAAAAATATGAAAGTATGAACTCCCATATTTTCTGTGAAATGTATGTTTTTTTCTTTATACATTTAGACATTACTTGTTCCTAACCATGGTACTTTGACTTAACATAATAATATGGAAATGTTTGATATACAAGCACAGAATTGAAATAATAAAGATCTCAAAACCGTTTATGGCGTTAGGATCTGTCGAGATTAGGTAATACAACCCGAGTGGGTCACTGTCTTGTAATTGAGCTTTGTAGTAGCTGTTGTTGTTGGGTCTTTTTTCTTTTTTGTGGCAGAAATGAATAAAAACAAAAGTGATCAACTACTGCACTTGGAGACTTCAAAAGCCGCAAAAGCCAATATCCCCTGATCTTCACTCTATAAAATGAGTCATGCCCTAGAAAATAAACCTATTTATTAACCTAGGTGATTTCTTCAGGGTTTTACCTTCAGACTTTAGAAAGCCCCATCAAAGATATATGAGACATTTAAAAAGATATGTATTAACCATGAAAAGTAAGTATAGCTCTTGAATATCACTTGAAATCTGACTGGAGCATCTGGTCCCCTGAGGTTCTGGGGCTCTGACTCCAACCTTTGTCAGTGTTCAAACAAACAACCCCTCAAGGCCAGTATTTTCATGAAATGTAATAATGCTTTAGCGTGTCATTAAATGGCAGCAGTTAATAAAGATCTCCTCTTTCTCTTTTGTTTCCACAGTTAATGAGATCATCAGGAACGACCTCTCCAGCATCTCGGTGCACACTCACGCATAGACCATTTGAGTCTCCTGCAGCAGCAGCACATACACGTCCAAAAGCAGCATCAACAAACAAGGACAAAAACAGCCAGAGATCCAGATTATAAAGAATAAAAGTTTGACCAGGATCTCCCACCTAACTAACGATGCCACCCGCTCCTCTTCAGTCTCAGACTCTCTGCAGGCTCACATTGACAATCACTGGCAAGCTCCATTTGAATAAACAGGTGAATGTTATATTTACAGAAACGAAAAAAGGGAAGTGATATATCAGGGGCAAAGTATACGATTACACTTGCCTTAATTCGCAGCTGATGTTTAGTGGACCAAACAACTCATAGAGACTGAGTTATTTTCTGTCGTTAACAAATGACAATCTTCATTTCGAGTGTGATCTGTATGTTAATGCATGGACAAGCTAATGGGACAATAAGTGTCAAGCTTCATCACTTTGGTTCATTTGTCTGCACAGTCAGTCCGCATCAACCAACTCGGTGCCTTACAGCAGTGCTATTGACAGCAAGCAGCAGCAGCAGTCAGGCAAATGCAAACGGTTCAGTGTAAAAACCCGACTGAAGTTTTCTATGACATTTTTTGTATTATTTCAATTATTTGTTTACAGGGAAACAAAAAGGCTGGAACATCTATAGGAAGCATGTCAACTGATTCGAATTTTGTTTTTGCCTGCTTCCTTATTATCTTTGTTCATTTATACGGAATTTTATGTATGATATTCTTTTGTATAAACATGTATTTGAAAATATGTATGCCTTATGCTCATATCATGCAGTTTGTTATCCCCCCGCCCCCTCCCCTGTCTTTCCCTGATATGATTTTGTAGCATTTCTGCTACCCTTCACCTTTACTTTTTCACCTTGGTGCCTATTTCCTCATCATCCTTTCCTGGTCTTCCAGTTTTCCACCCAGATCATGACATAATGATGCAAGGACAATCAGAGGATTTTTTTTAAAGTACATATCCTATCAAAATTCCTGGTTTACAGGAGCTTAATAAGGCAGGTATCAGTTTTATTCTTTCCCAGCTGAGAGATTGTTGAACAAAGGTAAATGTACCTGCTGGATTTAAAGGGGAATACTTTTATAGATTTGTCTGTTACTTGTTGCTCTGCAGGTTTGCATGTAAATAGGCACAGGGATAATCTATACCACGGGCTCAGTTTTCCTCATCATCTAGGTGATTTCACTGAGGAGCTGACAGGACTGTTACTTACAGCTGGCAATAATTGATCTGAGTAGACCAAAGGATTTTATCTTTGGTGAAATTATTGTCAAAGTTTTTTTTTTCTCTGACTGAGACTTTAGCATAGGATGGTTCCATCATACGAAAAAAAAGACATGCACTTTACCGTAAACACAGAGCCGATTTTCTTGCCTCCAGACCAAATATTGTAGACTGATTTCCACTGTAGTGTCATAAACGCGCTTCTGTCAACTCTTCACATAAACGCAGTCTTTTCCATGTCGTCTGGCTTTTGGAGCATGCACACTGTACTGATGTTGGGGATCATTTAGCTGATAGTAGCTTCCAGGATAGCTTTCCTAATACATTTTTCAACATATATTATAATAGCATGGCTAAACTCTATCAATAAGGTTTGTATTTTGTGCCTTACTACCTTTCTTGGCTACAAAATTGTTGCAACTCTCTAATGCTTTTCTGTGTAGGCACAAGGTGAAATATATTTCTCTTTAATATTAAATATTTATGAAAAAAAATGAAATGTGTTTTAAGTGCATTTAATGTGTTCTCAAAAATGACCTAATAAATGGCATATTGGTGACCATAAGTAACAAATGTCCCAGTGTTATATTTGTGAGTAAGTTGATTGTTGAAAAAAAAAAAGTTAACAAATATTTGATAATAAAGTAAAAAAAAAAGAGAAAAGCATTGTGTTGAGTAGTAGCGTCCCTATTTCCTTTAACCTGTTTGAATTGAATAAAGAAGTAATTAAAACATTCAAAAATTATTTTCTTTTAAAAATTTCTTTCTAAATTTTGTAAGACTAGCAAAGCACCAGCCCAGCAATTAAATCACTGGACGTCTGTGAGAGGAAAAACTGTGCATTCTAACACTGATTTTGAAATTCAGATCTTGCAAGTTTTCTCTTTGCCAACACTGCAGGATAAAATGCAACAAGCTGCTGATATGCCAAGTACAAGCAGAGACATGCGTGTTTTCCAGTGAGTATTGTTAGCGGTGGGTAGTTAGAAGCGAACCAGCTCCTCGTCATGGGATCTGTGCCACGCTCCTGTGTACCACCTGCCAGTCCTCCAGACTTTTTCCGTTCAGCAAAGTTATGAAGCGCCCATCCCCATAGTAACAGAAGGCAGGCCTAGGCGGTGCTCCCCTGTTTGACCGAGGTAAGCCCAAAATAGAGCCACTATTTACAGATACAGTCACGCCCCTTTTTCCTGGCACCCTGTCCTTCTTACCTTAGTCTTCCTCTCGCAGCGCCATACCCTTTGACACAGTGGCGCAATGACTCCGGGCTATGGTTTCCAAAGCCGAAGCAGTGGTCCATAAAAGTGAAATATCAATGGACAAACCCAGCTTTAGAATCTTTTCTTATCGGTTAAATTTTTGTTTAGAAGTATAGAAACACGAAAAGCTTTGAATGTATGATGTGGAAATCAACAATTCACAGCATAAAGAATTTACAGCCGAAATAAGCACCTAATTAAATTAAACATTTACTCAAAAGTTGTTTCGTTTTTAATAAACACTGTACATATAAGCATGGCATAGCTTAGCAAAAAGCCCAGAAGCAAGGAGACACAATCAGCCCAAGGGCAACCAAATCTAATTTGCCAGCATGTGTAATTGATAAATGTGGTGGGGAAAGAGAGTGTATGTGTTGAACACAGTTTATTTCACAATGTGTTTGCTCATCACTCTTAGAAGAGCTGGTAGACACTTTTGTAGGTAGTTAAAAGGCTTCCTTGGGTTTAGTTCATGATCTGATTTCCTCTGATCTGATTTCTTGCAAGAAGCTGCTATCTCTCCTGCCAGACACATAAAGGATTCATGTGCATTCATGTCCATTCGCTGACCTCAAAGGTCAGAGTTTTATGCGACAGTCGCACTATGGAAAAGAGTGGTTGGAGGCTGTGGCATGAACAAATTCATTGCAAACTTGGTTGATTTTGAAATGGTTGCTTCAAAACCAAGTCTGCCACCACTCGCAGTCAGTAGTCTTAAAGCACAAGAGTCTTTTTTGGGTTAACACAACAATAAAAGGGCAATAAAACAGAATGTGCTATCACTCTGTCATCAATTAGAAATCGAATAAGGTTGTGATCATACAGTAAATAATCTGCAAAAATTGCAATTCCATTTTCCATCTATTGCAAATCTGTATACGTGTGCATACACAGAAATCCACATCCACAAACTACTAACTAGACTGCAGTTATTTCCAAACCTTTTCCAAGAATGACTCAGTCTGAGTCAGATTACAATTGTTTGGATACCGGTTGGTTTTTACCAGGCGATTGCGCTGAAAGTGATGATCCAGAGGTTAAGGGCGTAACCTGTTAGTCATTATAACTGCTTGCAGTTGTTAACCAAATGCAAAAAGAACATCGACGCATCCGCATATTTTTACTAGCTGCAAGGAGATTTCCATCCTATATTTACGAAATATATCAAATACATGTATTGTATTGTATGTATTTGTATATATATATAAAAAAAAATCATAGCTGCCTCATGTGTATGCAGGAAACCACCCACCTGAGATTAAGATTCGACCAAGTGCCTCACCAAATGATCACAATTTGATCAACTGGTAATGGTACTGACAGGCTGATGTGCTGACAGACAGCCCCAGTGAGCAGCAGACAGCACAGTCTGTCATTTGACGGCCACAGCGTCTCTGCTGTGAAGTCAAGAGTCCAGACAAGGAAAATGTCAATCCCTGATTATAATGATTGCAGCGCGTGCCTTCTCCCGCCCC